GATGATTCAAATAAGAAAATCACCTCTTGCGACCAGATTAGTTCCGCTCCCGGATATTTCTGGCACTCAGCTTGAATCAAATCATAGGGGAACGGCGAGATTTGCTCAACGCGGCAGATGGCCACTGTATCATCTTTTCCTACATGTTTTCGTGCATTGACCAGATCATAGTAGACTTTACCTATAATAGCAAATAGTCAGCACTTTATCTCCAATTCACTCAATACTCTGAAATTTAGGCTAAACCCTACTACTAAACTTTACTAACCAGTACAGAACACAAGTCGTTGCACATTCGAAGCATTTTGTGATGGTGGACCAACTTCAGGAATGACACGCTGGAAGTGTGTTCCCGTCGCGAAGTCCTCTACCGGTGAACGAGCCATCGGGTGACGTAGCAGAGATTTTGGTGTCATCACTACAGCGGGTTTACGGAATGGCATGGTAACCTAAAATTTCAAATTTCCAAAAATCTCGAATTCTGCCAAAAACATGTTGAATCCACCTGTCTTCTAAACAAGTGGAAGATGTTAGCTGGTGTAGTGCAATTGGCAACGATCCAGTTAGTGTCATGAAGTTGTTGCGCTTCGAAAGTACCTCCGAATGCTACTTTCTGGAATAACAGAAGTTTACCCAAGTGAAAACGTACTAGTGTACTAACATACCTCCAAGTCAATCTGATCATCTTCATTGCACAACTGGAGATATCTCTCCGGACGAGCCGATGAATGTTCTGGTCCCATGCCTTCATAGCCATGCGGCAAAAGAATAACTATTCCTGACTGACGAATCCACTTTGACTGTCCTGAACAAAAACAAAATCAATGTTTTGTATACCCAAGTCTTTGCTGTTCACCATTTGAAATAGCTTTCAAGACCCAAATTATGAGCGCACCAGCGATAGAAGAAAGAGAAGGGGGAGGGGGAAGAGGGAGAGAGCGAGATCGGGTCGCGATTTTGAGAAGTGGAGATATCAAAATTACCTAATTTTAGCCTGGTTGTATCATCGCTTAAGTTTGTAAAAGAGTGGCTTGCAAAAAGTTCCC